ATATAAGTATGAGTATCGATGTATTCATAAACAAAAACTTGGCTAAAGCAGGAATAAATTTGTTCTTTGTGATGTTGGAATCATCTTAGCATTTGTATGGGGAGCATGAGAAGAGATTGGAGTCAGTAGTTCTCATCAAACAATTAGGATTTTCAAGATAGAAGGATTAAAAACTCAAGAAGAATGAGAATAGTTATAATCTTTGCTATTTCATTGTCATATGAAAACTACGAGTTTAAACAAAACCTTAATTGTATGTAAGAACACTAATAAAGTCAAAGCAGTAGCAAGAGTCTTGAACTCTCTCAACATAATACATGTATACAAACAAGTACCCTCCAACTGGCCCTCGTTAAGGTGCAAATTAAAAAAATCAACACGATAAGGTTTCAGTTTTCAGGTCATCACGGAAGCTCGGTAATCTGCGGTTAGACTGCAGACTGACATCAAGAACAGGACCGCGACTACAGCCGCCCTAAGAAGTCCTCCGTATGAACATTTCACGGACAATATCTTTTTAAACAAGAAACCGGTCTTGTTCTTTGATCTCATTAGCTTTCCACATCCCTTCTTTATGGTTTCTCGAACCGTGTTGTCCTCGACCTGTGTAGCATTGATTTGTTAACATACAAATGTCACGGTTCCACTCCAATTTGCTACGCGAAACCATACCCCACGAAACATAAAAAAAACAAGAAATCAAGTAATTCATGAGAATGTGCTTCTTCTTATTCTCACCTCTCTCTTGATAGTTTGAAGCTCTGGATTCTTCAAGTTAATAGCGTTAAGGTTACTTTGCAGGCGCAACCTTCTTGAGGCATTTCCATGAATTATATAGTCAGAGGTGCAGCCTGAGGGTTGTGCCTGCCGAGTCTTAAGCTTGATACCTGTTTCTGAAACATCAGTGCTCATGTGACCTACCGAGCTCTGTTGATACGCTGGTGCAATCTGCAATCAGGTAGATGAATAAGAGTAAGTTATGATTTCCATAATTCTTAATGGACATACAAATGGTGTTAAGTGTTGAGGATAGTCTAAGAACCTGATCTGGCACTCCACCGTCGAACCCAGGCAAAACAAACTTATCTGGAACCTCTTCTGAGTTCACAAGAATTGAATCAAGAAAATCGGATATACATGTATCTACTTCATCTTTACTGTAATGAGTCTGAATTTGGAAACTGTTGTTGTGGTTCACTGAAAAAACACTTGAGCTAGACTGGAATGCGTTGTAAGAGGATCCAAGCTCGGATTGGACTTGCGAATGTAACGGGGAGAACATCTTGTAATCCAGGGACTCCAACTCTGGATAGCAACCGAAATCTACAAGCTGCAGATCAAAACAAAATTCGTAAAACTTGCAAACCAACACTAACACAATCATCTAATAAAGTTGTGCAATGTCCTCACCTCGGCAGTTGTAACCTCATCGCAAGCGTCACTATGAGAATCACCAGAGATTACAAGAGAAGATTCCGCAATGTCATAACGCTTCACGTCTTCTGTTTTAGTGACCACAGATACTTCAGACTTAGACGCTTCAACGGTTGGAGACGAGACTGCCGGTTCAGCTTCATCCGACTTTGAATCTTCTTCCGCTAAATTCAGCTCTTGCTTCTTGAACAATTTGCATATGACAAATGGACTCTGC